AGCAGGAGAATATAAACAGGAAGTTCTCCTGTGTATTGCTGAAGTAAGTACCTTTGATAAGCTTTGAAATACAAGCAAGTCTGTTGTTGGGCTAATGCTGCTTTTAAAAATCCTTAATGCCCTGGACTACATTTGAGAAGCTTGATAAATAACTGAATGGTCTCCTCCTTAACCATTATGTTTTGCTAATTGGTCTCTGATTTTAAGGAAATTTGGGATCTGCCTTAACTGACTGAGAACTTGTTTGTGCGTTCTCACAGATGTGTAAATTTAGCTGTCCAGAATTTCTTTAATAGGCAAGAGTGTAGGAAACATGATTACTATTGATGGACAAATCTGCTGTTCTGACAGCTATCCTGTTTATTGTGGCTGGTTCTGGGTTGAAAGCTATAGGCAAAATATTGCTGCCCTGCCTTTCTGTTAGGGTAGTTTAACTTCTGACTTGTTTTTATGCCTTTGTTGACAGGTTTTCTTTTTGGGATAATACCTTTCTTGCATCCTTTTTTCCTATTCTTCATCCACAAAGGCTCTCGGGATCCTTTGGTCCAACTTCATTGTTCTTTTACTGCATGTACATGCACGTGGCTGCTAGGCAGCCTGGAGAGCAGCTCCCTTGGTAAGTGGGGAGGGGGGATTGAGGACCCCATAGGGAGGCAGGGAGTTGGGCAGGACTGGGGCTGCTGTCCAGCTGGGTGGTACATAGGGCTTGGGGTCTGGGGCCACAATACGTGACTGCAGGGCACCAGCAGGGAATGGGATGGGGCTGCTGGCGGCTGGTCCAGGGAGCAGGGGGTGGGGCCAGCTCCCCCCCCACTCTGTGCACTCCTGGGGTCTGAGGATCCAGGCTCCGTTGATCTGTGTGTGGGGCGGGGATGGGCATGGGCGGTGGGCTTGGGTTCCTGCCCTGCTGCCCTCCCCCAGGGCCTCCACAGCCCAGTGGGTGCGACCTGGCACAGCGGGGCCATGCGGGGATGTTCTTGCCGCTGTGAGCTCCGCATTGCCTTGGTGAAGTGTCCCCTGCATGTGCAGCAGCAGTGAGGGGCACAACCCTGTGCCACCATGCCTGCTGCTGCCAGGCATGCAGGGGACACATCACTAGGGCAGTGTGGAGCTCGCAGCACCAAGGAGATCCCTCTGGCTTCGTTGTTCCCTGCAGTGCCGGGTCACACCTGCTGGCCTGGGGGAGGGCAGCACGGTGGGAGCCTGAGCTTGAAGTGGGCAGTTCACTCTATCCCTGCCTGGTGCACAAATTTGGGGGCATGGATCGCTCCTGCCCCACACAGGAGTGTGCTCAGTGGTGGGGTGCTGGCTCCTCTTCCTGCCCAAGCCCACAGCAGGTGGAGGTGAGAAGGAGAGGACTGGGCTCCCTTCTGCTGCAGCAGCCTCCACCTCCTGCCAGGGGCAGGGGGCTGTGGACCCAGGTCCCTGGCTCCATATCCCTGGCAGCATGGGGCCTCATCTGGCAGGGCTGTTGCTGGGGGAGTGAGGGGCACTAGCAGGGCCAGGGGGCTATGGGAGGGTGCGGGGAGTGAGTGGCATCAGTGGGGCTGTGTGGGGGCAGGAGGGGCCTTTCATTTTAATCATGGATTTTGGGGGTTTTATCAAAGAATTTGTGATTGGTTTTTTTTTTTTATCTTTTATCGGGGAAAAACAGGATCCCTGATTTTACTACCTATCATTAGTGATATTCTCCCTTGTGATGTGTTTTGAAATAGTTTTGGATGAAAAGTACTGTAGAAGAGCACTTGTGCAGTGATGTAGTGCTATATGCATGTCAACACGGGGTAAATCTGGAATACGGGTCAGAAAGAGGATCACCTATCCTATCTGCAAACACTTAGGAGCTCTTGAGGAACGATGCTTTGCAGGTTGTCTTTGGAGTCCACAAACTATGCCAGTTGAATTGCCCAGGAACAGCCAAGGTTTGCTGACCCAAGGGGCCAGAGAACCCTGGCAGAGTTTTCAAAGGACTCTGAGGAGAGCAAAGACAAAACTAGGTTCTGGCATGGGTACTGCTGAGGCTGTCTGGACAAGCAAGGTCTACCTAGGTCACCAATGTGGGGTGGAAGGATGTTGGGTAAGAAAAATCTGCCAAGAAATGGTTATATTGAAATCCTCTTTCTCTAGAGCTCTCTCCTGCTGCTCTGAGGCAAGGAACCTTGGGTAACTGCATCTAGGTAGGTTTGTAGACTAAAGCAGTTGTTTGCTCAGATGGAGTAGTACACCCCACGCTCAGTCTCTGAATGTGAACATTGCAGGCTTCATCCTGAGCCAGGGCACAAAGACCAGCACCTTGCAACAACCCCATTTTACAGATGAGGAAACTTGAGGCCCAGGGTGTGGAAGGGACTGGCTCACAGCCATCTCGCAGGGTAGTGGCCGTTCCAGTGATTGAACTCAAGTTTTCTGAGTCCTAGCTCTATCCATTAAGCTGTGATGCTTCAACACCACCCCAGTACTCAGACCAGTATGCAGCATTTGTAAATAGATGAGTATCCTCAAAACCCTCAGTGCGTGTTTCACTAGATCTTGGATATTGCTGTTGCTTCACAGCTCTGGCTTGGCCGTTCTAAAGTGGGTAGCAGGTATAGCGCAGGCCTGCTCTTTGGGAACGGTGTGGTGTTGCCTATGTGTAGAGTAGAACTGTCTTCACTCCCAGGGAAGGAGTGGGAGCTCCCTGGGTGACAACACTCATTTCAACAGCATTGGCTAAGTTCCCCATGGGATCCCAGATGGATTAGTTTTAGGTCCATTTGAGGTTTGGATTGTGATGATAAAACTCAGCTCTTGTAGGCTTATGCAGCACTTCAGGGATATAAAGTGCTATAGATGTGTGCACGCTCTGCGCTGTGAGGCAGCTGCTCTTCAGTGTTCAGCAGTGCATAAACCTACACACTTGGGAGACCTGTGAGTGTGATGTGCTTTAAATGTGGAGTCACTGCTGCAGCCCGAAGAAATAAGGAATAATGAATGGGTGCCTCCAAATTCACCTTGACGGCTGCTGTCAGCACTGCTACTATCCAGCTGTTTGTTCTCCCTGAACTCAGCAAGGCAGGAGTGAAAGCCAAATGAGGTTGGGGGCCGAGCAGGAGACAATGGGTGCTGCTCTTGCTGGTTCCCTTTCCTCCAGTGAAGTGGGATAAAGGGTGTAGCCTAATTTTGACTGTCTGGTTAATTTTTAAACTGTGATCCAATGTCTTGGTCTAGGATCCCAGCATGTTGTAATGACTTGGTGTAAGTATATGGCCAATTTTCTAGGATCAGATGCCTGTCCTGGGGTGCCCTGTCATTCTGCTTAGCAGAGGTGCTGCTTGACATAAGAATATTTGTTTCTGCTGTTTTCCATTCCTGTATTCTTCAATCGCACCCAACCAATTAGTTGGATTGCCGTTATCCCTGAACTGCATGGAGCAGGCAGGCAAAATTATTCATTTGTAGCAACCAGATAATTGTTTCCAACGGATTAAATTTGAATAGGTTTTCACTATTTGAAAAATGACCAAAGACATCGGTGTTTACTAAAAAACACTTGCAATTTATCTCTGAAGTAACCATTTAGAGTCTATTATAAATATCTCAACACATAGTAGAATGGATGTTTTGTAGTCCTACTTTCTGTGGCAGAGTATATAAAAATTCATAACCTTTTTGTTCTTATTTAGCTGTAAGTCACATTTTCTCCAAACCTACCAAGATACTGACTGTATCACTTTTTCATTAATACAATGACTTCCTATTATAAATCAGAAGGCTTCTGTCCTTGGCTCATGCTCTTTTTATTTTCCATCCATCTAAACAACCTGCAGCTATTACTTGATAAGCATCTGAATGTTCTTCTTGTCAAATATGTATTATCACTTTTTTTTTTTTTTTTTTGGTTCAACATAGTGTCTTTCTAGTGCCTTTCACTTTCTGATAGGACCATATAACTTTATAGAATAAAGCTTGGGAAAACCCCCTTAAAACCTTGCTAATTTATTTTCTTAACTGAACAAAAATTAATGTAACACAGAAATATTGTAAATACTGTATAGGATATGCCCCTGTCAGAGTGCCATGGGAACAGGGTGATGTAACAGTTGTGAGAAGGTGGTTCATGCACCCCTTTAGTAGTTGACATCCTTACTGATAGCGTTACAGAATAACCCAAGAATTGTACAGGAAGGGATACACTCTTTTTCTATGGTAGAAAGAACAGGACTAAAATCTTGGAAGGTTTCTTTTGACATCAGGTTTTGTAAATGCTTGTTATAAAACGTGAAGTTTGGGTATTATTCAACCTGGCAGTATGCATATAACTTTTCTCCTTCTGCAGCTGTCAAAAGATCCTCTCTATTTATTAGCGCCTACACCATAGCTGTTTCTGCACTTGCAGTAGATTTAAAACATTAAAACATGATCTTTAGAAGTGGCAAGGAATATAGCACTGTGTGTCAGCAACACATCCATCATTTCAAAACCCTTTTTAAAAGAAGAAGAAAGATGAAATGTTACACTAGTGATATTTGCATGTCTCCTTTTTTTATACTTTGTTTCTATTGTTGTTCAGTGTCTATCCAGAACACAGGCTTTTGTAAGTAAATGTAGGCCTTCTGTACAAACATTATGCCAGTTGTAAGCACCTCTGGAGAATGGTATCTTGTTGCCATGGGAAATTTTTGGGTTTTCCTTTGTCAAGAATGGCTGGTTTTTTTTTTTTAAATGTGAAGGGAGTTGAGGGGAGAGGCACCTAAGTCTCTCAAACAATGTGAATCCTCTTTCCTCATCACAAAAAAAATAAAAAAAAAAATCACTTAAACTGTAGTGTAGGAATGAAAAGGGGAAATCTTTGTTTAAAACTATATCATGCATCTTATTAAAAGTCTTTTCCTCTATTGACATAATACCAGGGCGCAGAGCTGGGTTTATCTATTTCACTTTGGACTTACTCTTTCTCAGAACAGCTCTCTTATGAGTCATTATTTTATTTTTCCAGCTCAAGTTGATCTCCGATTCTCCCTTTCTGCCTTATCCTTCATCCAACTCTCAAAGATTCAGGATAAAAAGGATCACAGAGTTCTTTTTCTTTTCTGCCAGGGATATGTACATTACTAGAGGGCAGTTCCTTCGCAGAGAAATGAATTGTAAGTAACGTGCTTTTATTTACTTGCCCTGTAGCATAAGGAGTATAGACAAACCAAGCTTTTACTCTTAAAGTTGAACATCTATAGCTCATGAGGACTTAAATTGTTGAGGGCCCTAGCACACACTGTATTTCTAACACGATTAACGCCACCAGGTGGACATTCATCTGGGCATGAAGCTGAATGCCTGAAGCGGGCATGAAGATGGGACTCCCAGTTGCATGCCTGCTTTGTAAAAGTCCAGTGCCCTGTGAGCTTGATGTTGGAGAGAGGCTCCCAGATGCTGGGCTAACTATGCCCTGGCCTGCAGTTGGGAGCTCCAGTTTCGTGCCTGCTTTTTTTTATGCTCCTGGGTACCCAAGGAAGAAGTACCTGGTGAGAAGGGAGCTCCTGGCTCCCCAGCTGTTGCTTCCATGGGCCTGGTTGTTATAGCTGGGGAGCAGAGAGCTTTTTCTCTGCGTAGCTGGGGTTTGAGGAATATTCCCAGGTCTGGCATGGCAGGCCATGTGATTTGGTAAAATCTCTCAGCCCCCAGTTGTGTGACTGCCTTAATGTCTGCTGGCAGCCTAAGAGCCATTGATGCCCAAAGCCTGTCGAAGTGGATGGAGTCACGGACTTCAGTAGGACCCAAGTTCTCCTTCATAAAGGGTGATGCAATGCCACTGAATCCATGTTAATACAGAAGCATCTTTTTCAAGTGCCTTCTTAACATCTACTTGTGTTGATTCTCCTGGGCATGTTCTCATTCCTCTTGTGGGCTCATTTGCCTCTCATTTCATCTCTTGTGGCTGGAGATTGCATTCTTAAACTGATCTCTGCTTAATTGTTATAACACAATTCCTTTCCCAACAGGAGATTGAGGTGCAAATGGAAGAGAGGAACAGATCATGACAGCATCACTTTTTTTTTTTTTTTTTTTTTTTTTTTTCTTCTCTAAGAATTTCTGTGCAAGAGGTTTTGGAGTCAAGGTCTCAAGGGTGTTTTGTTCATACCTAATCGGACCCGACTGGTCAGGTGTTGGGAAGGGGATAACTGGTCTATGCTGTAGCTTTAGTATAGGTTTGAGTGCCCTTCAGGGGGCGGGGGGAATTGGTGGTTCTGAAGAAGGAATACTAGAAATATTGGAGAGAAGGCTTTATCTCAACGGTATTTTACTATTGTTTTAAAGCCAAAACCCAGGCAGGGGATGAAGTGCAATTCTTAGAGTCCATAGACTTTGAGAAAGGCACCTACTTCCAGACTACTTAATACTGCTCTAAAAAACCTTATTTTGTGTGTTCACAGCTCCTTGTTTGAGAACCTCTCTGCTGTTTTGATTTTGAAGGAACATGATCTGGTGCACATGGTTGGATTGTGTTTACATCAGTAATAATGATCACCCCAATCCCATTACCCTCTTCAAACATCTTTTGTAGGGTGCCTAATGTGGCACGTTTAACTTCCTTGTGTGTAAGACTTGCAATTACTTCTGAATCGTAAAGGCTTGCACGCAGCTCTGCCACCCAAGACACTGCAGCCTGATTCATTTGGAATGCTAGTCACTTGAACCTGATCTGAAGTTGTCTTGTGATTCAATTTTCTGTCTGTGTGTCCTGCTGTGTTTTCTGCTCGCTCCCCCTCTCTCTTGTTGGGCTGCGAGGATGGCATCTAATGCTGTGTTAGTGGTTTTTTTTTTTTATTGAGCACTAGTGGTAACTCATTGCTGGGAGAAATACTTGTATGTTTAAGGACCTGCTTTCTTGAGGCTTCTGGGAGGGGAAAGCACCCTTTGTTCCGAGCCTGCCGGTCTCCCCTACTGGCTGGTGGCTGGGCAGATTCATGATCCCATCTCTTTCCAGCCCCAGTATGGTCAAGTTATGCCTCGGAGAATGTGAGTAACTGCAGTGAGGATACTTTTTGCCACGGTGGGTTTCCTTGAATACCCCATTCAATGATCACTGAAGCTCTTGCCCAAAATACATGTGCTTTGACTGAGTTTCTGGCCCTTTTGGCCTTTAGTTCTCAAGAAAGATTCTAGATGGCCAGCTTGCTGGCAAGATTTGCTCCTGGGAAGAGCAAACTTTAAGTGAATATGGCAGAATAGTTGCAGATGGTGACTGTTAATTGTGTGCTGAAAACCTGGCTCTAATCATCTTTCAGCCTGGGGAGGAGAATGTACCTTGTTGCTTGTACGTTCCATCAAAACACCTTGACTGCTGAAGTCTTGAATCAGTACTTGTCTTGCTGCAAGCCCAGTTAGCAGGCAATGGACAGGCCGGATATGTAGGCATAGAACAAACAGTCTGTTGAATCATTTTGAGCAAATGATGATCTGCTCGTGGAACAACTGGAGACAGGAAATAAAGGGCTAAATTCCATCGTTACTCTCGGATCTAACGCAAACCACTTACATCAGTCAACAAAAGCAAAGTGCTTCAAGCTGAGAAACTCGCACATTTCTCTTATGTCTGGTTGAGGATTCTTCTCTCCTGTGAGTGCAAACCCGGCTGTGGTGCTATTTGGGTATTCACAATGTACACTCTCAATTCCTCCTTCTGGTTGTGCAGATTCTAGCGTAGTCTCTTCTGTCTCTAACAAAGGTTGTGCAGTCTTGATGCTGGTTTGGCCTGCTCTTTTCTTGCTTTGCATGGTATCTTACTACTTGAGTGTTGAGCGTATGATGACGAAATGTAGACTTCAGCCTTTAGATGGCTGCACTGGCACATTGCAATGTGCCCCAATGCTACCAGAACTGACGTGTGCAATTTTTCTTTCACGAGCAGTAATTCTTTGAATCAAGTGAGACTGCATACTTGAGTCTTTGCAGGATGAGAGAGTTGGGTAGCTTCCTTTCATGCTTGCTCCATACAGATATTTAAAGTAGTTTATGAGAGAAGTCTCTTACCTTGCCTATACAAATAGCAAGGTTTCTGCACCATGGTGAAGCTGCTGAGACATAGTAATTTCCACTTGAATGACCATGTCTGTGTTTAACACCCAATTTCTCTTCTGGCTCATGCTCTCCCATATTTTTTACTTATTTTTAGCAAAACAAAATACCACCCCCCACCCCATATTGTTTTAGCTTTCTTTAACAAAAAGCAATGTTTGATGTTTAACAGACAGAAACATGAATAGCTCTGGATGGCTTAACCTTCCCTAGTCTACTTGTCTTCTGTTACCAAGTCAGTAAATCTGGCTTTGTCACAGGCAGTAGAATGGGATTAAGTTCATGCAGTTTGACTTTCAGCCCCAGTGGGAGTTAAGAGGAGTTATAGGTGCCCGGGCCCTCTGAAAATCAGGTGGGTGCTGTCTGTTTATATAAAATACAATTTGAGAACAATGTGGTGGGCGCTAAGCAGCTCAGTGAAAAGCAAAATGTGATGACAAAAGTATTAACAAAAAACCCAAATCTCTGTTGTTTGGCATGAGAGGAACTCCTCAGAAGTGCATCCTTTTCTTTTGTGTAAGGAAGAAACATGTATTAAAAATAGTGGATACTTCACAGCTTGAATACTAAAATGTCAAAGTCTGAGGCTCGTTCTTCTAACCAGAACGGTTGCAGCTCTGCATTAACGCTTATCCTTTGTAATTAATTATTGTCACAACTGTACTATACACAGACCAGCTCTCTTTTGTGGGAGGTTTTTTACATGTGGGGAAATGAAAGAGAATCTGATGGAGAAGCAGCCTTTCCTAGTAGGTCTCTCCAGTTACCCGTCTGAAATATTATTGCTTTTAAAGTTGCTCTGAAACTGGCATGCATGATCACATTTTTTTTATTTGGCTCCAAGTCTGAGCTTTGAAAGGATAGATTTGGAATATGTGTAACTATTAAGTAGCGGATTCTCTCTCTTTTTTTCCCCCCCCCTTCCCTCCCCCCAGTAATCGTGAGTGTTTTATTTCTCCCCCCCCTTCCATATAAATATGTTTGAAACTGCTCTGTCCTTTGACTTATTTCTTAAACGACAAGCAGTTTCCTCTTATTGTTGATTTCCATAGCTTCAAAATGATGAGAGAATTCTGACACCAGCTAAAAACTGGTTCTTTCTGTAGTAGCGCATGCCATTTCTTCCCTGATGTTTGCATTTTATCTATGCCCAAAATGTTCTCTTCTGGGCATATCATCTGCCAGAGGGCCTGAAACGATCATTTTGTCATTAGCACATTGTCCTTTTTAAATGGGTCCTTTTGAATCTTTCAGTAATCAGTCAGCCAATTGGAATTTCTTTTCTGATGTCTACCAATGACATGCTGACTTTTGTCAGTACAAATGCACAGCTCATGATGATGATCTCCTATCTCAGTTTAACCTTTCCTCTCTTTTTCTTTTTTCTTTTCTTTTACAGGAAACTGCTTTATAATAATGGCTGCCTCTGCTATTTCTGTTATCTTGAGGGAAAGGGGATCTGGAGCACATAAGGGGGCCATGCTGAAATTTAAGAGAGAAGAGACTGGAAATATTCAGTGGATTCAACACTGTCGCTGGGGAGTAAAGCATATGTTACACTTCTGATCCTTGCCCCGAGGAGATCCTTTCAGCTCACTCCTAGACTAAAATGTGTGCAGGCTGACCTTGGTGTTTATCCAGACTCCCATGACTTTATTGGGGTACCGGCTACAAACCTTTTGCTACAGGAGCGAGGCCTTGGCTTCAATGATCTGTGCAGATCCCAGCTGGTATTTCTATGCAGTAGCTAGTTCCCTTTTTATAATGACTACATTTGAATAACTTGAGCCCTTAATGACTGTGATGCAAAACCATTGTTGAGGAAATAGGAATCTCCCACCTTGCAGCTGATGTACTTGTTGTATTTAAATCTTGCATCCTGTGCTCAGAAATAGCAATTTAGAAATGACAGCTCAAGCAGAAGGAAGTTCAGTAACCAGCACAGTGTCGTCCAGTAATATGGACACTTGGGAGGTCCGGGTTTAAATAGCCTGCCACATCACAGACTTCTTGTTTGATGCTTGGCAACATGTTTCGACCAGACTTCCCAAGGCAGGCAGCAGCACGTTCA